TTGAGATTTTGATTTGTCTGACTGGGCAAAACCCCTAAAAGGGATCTGCCACCACTGCTGTTGACTCTCTGCTTGTGGAGCAGATAGCAGTGACATTGAATTTTAGTTGTGATGGAATGCTAGAGGCCTCTCAACTTCTTTCTCACATGATTTTTCTTTCAGTGTATATGCATATGGCCTTTTTGGCTCAAGTGCTGGACTACAGAGCTATCTTGTAAGCTCATTCTTTTTGAGGAACCTCTTTGGAGCAGTCCTAGATAATATCGGCAAGGATTTTACTGGTGGTAAGAACTAAGGAATATCAAGGAGCAGACTGCAAAGATGTCTTTCTCTTTGACTGTCAAGAAGTGTACTTCAACTTCAAGACCCCCCATAAGCTTGGCTCCCTATTCACACACAAAGTTCAGCACTTTGCTAAATCCTCAGAAGTTTTCCTTGGCATGATGGTGCACCACCACTTTCCAGAGGGGGGGGGGGGGGACTGTTAGCCTTTTGGACACACATTTAGATTCTGAATTTTCTTCCTGATTTTTATTTTTTCATAGGGACAAGGTGATGTTGAGGCCCAGTATTTTATTCTTGCCTAAGGTAGTCTCTACTTTTCACCTTAACAAGGACATTGTCCCTTTTTGTTTAGCTCTAGTTAATCAAAAGGAAATTTCCTTCCGTTGTCTGGATGTAGTTCGGTCTGTGCGAGCCTATCTCTCAGCCATTGCTTCTTTCAGAAAGACTGACTTCCTTTTGGCCATTTTGGATAGACCCCAAGTTGGTGCCCTGGATTCTTGTTCTACCATCTCCAGGTGGCTCAGACAGACTATCGTTCAAGCTTATGGTCTCAAGGATTAGGTTGCCCCGTTCCTGTTTAGGCTAATTCTAATAGATCTTTTGGGTCTCTTGGGTTTTTCATCATAAAGAAATTGTTTTCCAAATTTGTAAGATTGCCACCTTGTCTTTTACTCGTTCTCCCAGGTGGACCTGCATCATATGATACCAGCTTAAGGCGTAAAGTCCTTCAGGTGGCTCTTTGCGTTTCTGTTGCTTACGTTGGGCCTGTTAACATTTGTTTGCTGTTGCACTGCTTTTGAATGTCCTGAAAGTTTGACTCACTGCCCCTCAATGGAAGAAAAATAAAGTAGAATTTTTGTACTTGGTGTAAAACCCTTTTCTTTGAGTTTGAGGGACACAGTTCCCAGCACTCAGTGTTTATGATCATGCTCTCGGTACAGATTTAATACATAAATGAAGCATGCTGGTAGTTGAGAAAGTTATATCCTTGGCTGGCCTACAGGTTTTTTACGTTCGCAATCGTCCAATTCTCTGTAGGCTGTAAAACCAATGGTTCAACACTTCCTGTGTCCCTAATGGGACTACAAGAAAAGGATTATATGGCGAGTACAAAAATCTTTTGTTTTTTTTTTTTTTTGGGGGGGGGCGGGGGGGTTTGTGGTGTCTAGCTTTAATTTTGGAATCTGATAGGCTGTTATGGGCAGCAATTCCACTCTTGTCCAGGTCTGTTGACAAAATGCACCAACCAATCAGATATATCCTATTTGCCTACTGTCTGATTGGTAACAGTGCATTGGCGTTTGAACTGTACAGAATAATCTCCATTTATTCAAAACCTGACCTTGCGCCTCTGCTCTGAAGACCACTCTGTGAAAGTGGCTGTTTATATTGCATTGTTGCATTATTGCATGGCTTGGCTTTTGTTCACTGTTTTTATGTATCCCTCCTTCTTTTAATTGTGACATCAGAAGGTGATGCTTTTGCTGACAAACGGCCCCAGTTTGACAGACGTGATACACCTACAGGTACTGTACTCTGATGAGAATAGTGTATAGGTTCTAGAGGTGTTAGTATCTTCAGTGTTTGTGGAACATCCACTGCTGAGCCTGCAGCTCTCTCGTTATCGTGAAATGCAGACTGAATAAAGAAAAAGTGTCTGTATTGCCCACAGCAACCAATCAGTTTCCAGAATATCCATTTCTCAGCGAAGGTTAGACAATAAATACTGACTTCTTTTTTCTTTCAACACATTAATACCATTGCTTATTTAACCACATGAGCCTGGATATCTTACATGCCGCTTTAAACTGCCAGCCTCTGCAGTGGTGGTGTAAGTCTAGGAATGGTGTGAAGTTGATCTGGTATAGGGTTGCCACATGAAATGTTGCAGATGCTCATTTAATGCCCTTTCTGAATATAATGCAAAGCTGTTTCACTTTTGCAGGTACTACCAATTTATATAGTATTTATTAACAGGAACCCACAAGGACAGAGAACTATCCCTGCTGACCTGTTATTAAAGTGTAGGCTCCAGGGATATCTTTCTTCTTCTTTGTTCACTATATAGTCACTGACTTGAAGCAAGTGCAAACAATGAAATGTTGGCACAGCTGAGCTGCATGCAGTTTCCAGGCAAGTTATTCTCTAGGCATATTCTTGTCCTCATCAGTTTCCTGAGACCAAACATGAATTTTCCAACAACAATTTTCCCATAAGATTATAGGCGCATTATTTGCCTATAAAAGTCACCTTGTGCAGACATTCATAAGCCCGAAGTCTGCTGCTGGGCACCACCAACTTGGATAAGAAATCGGCAGCCCCGTTGCAGACTCAACTGCTGCTTAAGTGCCACACTGTTGTATTCCCGTTTGTTCCTCCTCCAGCTGCCACATAAAAAGATTATATAGGGGAAGGACAGATGAGCTGGGCAAGCACAGATTAACTAGGCACTCCCAGTAGAGGAGTGGGCTAAGATGTCCTAAGAGAGAGGGAACTGTACTAGGTCAGATGTGCTAGCAAGTTCAGAGGGACATTATGAATAAAAATTGTTCATGGAAGGGACAAATGTACAAATAAGCATTTAAAATAATTGAATTTTCTTTTTGGTTACCTGCAGTTTTTAGGTTGGTAAAATGATTCTGTACTGACAAAAGGTACAGAAATGAGTAACACGGACGCTCTATAGCAGCCTCTGCTGAACTGCTCTATAGCACAGACGGTCTATAGCAGCCACTGCTGAATCTACAGCTGAAACACTTAAGCTGAAAGCTGTATTTATCACAAGACCACGTTCCCTGAAGCAGGTCTGTGAGAGTGTTGAGGCCATTGATCAATGTGCCTTTCATTTATGTTAGCAGTTTAGAATAGGAGATCTTGAGGAATATGGTTCCATCAGATAGAGGAAATTGTTTGAATATGAGAAATGCTTTCCTAGAAGAAGAACATTGTATAGAAGCTTGCCTACTATTATATAAATGCATAAGTGAATGTTAATGCTGGAATTTATCCAGTTGCTATTAGCATTCAGGGCATTTAAAAAAAAAAAAAGTTATGAAAATGCTGAAATACTTTGTCAGGAAATAAAAGCTGCTGCTTCCAATGCTGGCCACGTGGCTGAAGGCCTGGGCACTTGGTCATAGGCACTTGGTCACGTCACCTCTGTGGTGTAGCTACAGACATATGGGCTGCTGAGCAAATTCCAGCATTTATGTGCACCCCATGCTTAGTCATGTGATGTCACTGCCCTCTGTGCCAACCACCCTGCCACAATTGTTCTTGTAGATTTTGTAGAGACGTATAATTGGGTGGGTGTAGCTGACTCAGGACCTCCTGAAACCGAGGCTCAGTCACATATGTAGGGATAGGAGTCACATGTGACTCCTATCCCTACATCACTGGCAGCATCAAACTAAAAAATAGAGAGAAGCTGTGGTGACTGATTATAATAATAATTTGGGCTGCTTGTTGCAGCAGTTTCTTTCCTGGGTGTAAAGAAATCAAAGCAGTAGTAAAAAAAATATGTGATGGTGATGGAGTGTCCCTTCATGTAAAGGGCTTAACAAAAAGAAGATCATTTATCACCAAACAGAAGCACAAAGAACGTCCTCTGCTGCTCTTGGCTCACTGTACACCGCTTGAATCCTAAAGAAAGTGGCAACCCTATCCCAGAATCCTTTGCGTGAGGCGGTCCAGACTCAGCCAGGGGCATGTTTCATGTACAAAGCTTTGACTTGTCTTCTCATCACAAATCTAACAAAAGTATATTATAAACCCCGCTGCACATTGCATGACAGTTTTTCCTTTGCTTTGTAAAGGTCTGGACTAGGGTCAGTATGTGAATAAAAAGCTTTACACACACACACATGCGTAGAGTGGGTTGGTCGTAGGGGTATTATACTGAAACATTTTGGAATTTTAAAGCTTTGAGTCATATTTAGGGAATCCCCAAATGGAAATGGAGTTATTCATTGATTCAATCTGAAGCAAACATCCACAGGCTTGGGCAACCTGTGTTGTTGCAGGTTATGCATTGGGGGTCTGTAGGCCTAACTCACTTCATTTACTAGTGTACAAATGAAACATTGCTCCTCCATAGATACAGTAAGCTTTTTCACCCTAGGGCAGGAAGTGTGTTACTCCTGGAATCACCCACAAAATTAAGAAAAACACTTTAAGATGGTTTGGTCTGCTTGGCACAAAAGGCAAAGTCCGACCAGGACAGTTTTAGGTTGACCTGGGTGAGTTTAGTCACCTACTGGTGACTTACCAAGTCAGCACTCGCCCAATAATGCAGTATCAGTTTTGGGTAAATATAACTCTTAAAATGTTGCCTCTCATCAGATTGTACTTATGTCACCATCATCAGAATCAGTGCAGAATATGAGGTGTTCCCTCCATGTAGAAAACATGACCTACAGTACCATTCCCCAACCCAATACTGTAGTGATGCCCTGCTCTGACTGTATGTGCTTTTCTCTCCTCTCTTGTAACCTCCCCTCATCCCG